TTTCTTATCGGTCACCACGCTCAAAAAGTGTAACTTGATTTAATATCAAAGACTTAACTGCATAAATAAAATAAATAAATAATTATAATTGCATAAGTTGATAAAAAATGCTATGCAATAGCTTTACCGCGGCAGTCACCGAGTGCCACACGTATTTTTATTATATTTTTCGTTATGCTACGTCATATTAACGCAATATTTATCATGAACGTACAAGGCATTCTAAAACGAAATCGTTTATATTCCTACGATTCTTGACTTTCCGTCGGTTCATTTATCATAAGGAATGGGCTCTTAGTATTCAAACGTTATTAGATTTTTTAATTTATCTTAATTATTCATTTACTACTATAAAATTAAAAAATAAAAGATGAAATTTAATTATATTAATTAAAATGAAATTTTTGTGGACCTATAAAAACTTCAGTTGTTCTCTTTTGTCTGACTTTATTTATGCAGATGGCATAAATATAAGTTCAGTTTACAGTGAAAATATCCAGAATTGGACTCGTGTGTTTTGAAAGAAAACACTTGTTTCTATCTTTTCAGTGGGTGACATTATATGGCATTGTTTGAATAATATTTGTCGGCCACTCCTCGTGTTTTCAATGTAGGTCTTGCATCCGAATACTGCCTAGTATAAACACCTTTAAAAGTATGACTTTATGCGATTCTTTTTGTATTAAAACGAGTGACTCAATTTAAATTCAAGGTTTGAAAATAATATTCGGGATGTTAAAATAATAATTAGGTGACTGAAAATCCGAAAACAGTAACACTAATAAAAAAAAAATTATTTACTATTTATTTAAAATGAGCCGCAAAATATTGTTCGAGCAGCCTAGTTTCTATTTGAGTAACATTATGTCTCGCATTATAATCAACATTTGGCGAATCATTTATTTGAACTGAGCTCCATTTTTCTTCATATGAGATGATTAAAAGGCCATTGTTTAAGAACCATTAGGCTGCGGGAAGTCCAACTATTATTTTATATTTTAAAGACGACAAAATATCGTAAAAAACATTGATTCACTCCAAGGATGTGATATAAAAAAAAGTAATTGAGTAGAGGATGGGTTGATGCTATAATTAAACCACAGTTAGTACTTACTCAACAGTGGTAGAGCCACGCGGCAGCTTTGCTGTTGCACGTATGGGCCGGCTCAAACTGGGGTGGTACCACGACCTTACAGAATACCGGCGTGAAGTGGAAGCTCTGCTTCCGCGTTTCGTCTGGTGAGTGCAGGTGGCCGGAGGCCGAACCCCCCCCCCCCATCAACATGGTAGCGGAATCAAATGATGATAGACTACCCCAGGACCAGGGTACCAGCACCCCTGGAGAATCCCTCGCTGAGCATCCACGAACATGTTTCTCCACTTCTGAGGTGGGCAAACAGAGCAACAAGACCAAGGCGACCCCTGCCACGCTGTCCGTGAATTTCTGCAATATCAGGGGACTTCACTCTAACTTAAACGCCGTCCACTACCATCTCGAGACCGCGAGGCCGGCTCTGCTCTTTCTGACCGAGACGCAGGTGTCCTCTCCGGCTGATGTCTCGTATCTCTCCTGCCCGGGGTACAAACTGGAACACTCCTTTGTGCCTCGGGCTGGAGTTTGCGTTTACGTCATAGAGGACATCTGTTCTCGACGCCTCGGCAGACTTGAAAGTTCGGACCTGTCCATCCTTTGGCTACGCATAGACAGCGACGAGCATCCGCGCGTCTACGGGTGCCGCTATAGGCCCCATAGCGGTAATGCCGAAACAGACCGACTCATGGACCACGTCCAAATGGCTACAGATTCGTTGCTACAGCAGATCCCCTCCGCAGAGATCGATATCCTCGGCGACTTTAACGCCCATCACGCCGAATGGCTTGGTTCACGTTTAACCGATCATGCGGGGAGATCTGACACAACTGGTTACTTCGCCTACGCGGATTCCAGATGTGGAGGATCATGCACCTTCCCTGTTGGACCTTCTACTGACCACTCACCCGGACGGATATCAGATTTCCGTCGACGCCCCTTTAGGCTCCTCAGACCATTGCCTTGTCCGGAGTGTGGTGCCACTCACGTTGAAATCGCAGTTGCATTCTGCAGGCTGCCGCCGTGTTTGGCACTACAGGTCAGCCGATTGGGATGGGATGCGGTCTTTCTTTGCATCCTACCCTTGGGGCGGGTTTGCTTCTCGCCGGATGATCCCAACGTTCTTGCGGATTCTGTCGCTGATATGGTACTTCAGGGTATGGAACTTTTTATTCCTTCCTCTGTGGTGCCCATTGGAGGTAAATCTCAGACATGGTTTGGTCGCTCCTGTAAAATAGCATCATGCTATAAGCAGGAGTGCTACCAAGCCTGGGCTGACGCATCAGCATCCCGTGATGTAAATACCAGCGCTCTAAAAAAGAAGTATAATTCCGCCTCTAGGTCCTTCAAAAGAGTCATTGCCAAGGCAAAGTCAGAGCACATAGACAGAATTGGCGAGAAACTAGTTCACCTTCCTTCTGGAACCCGTGCATTCTGGTTTCTCGCCAAGGCTGTCCAGGGGAATTTCTGTCAGCCATCTCTTTCATCTCTGCACAGGGAGGACGACTCACTGGCCCATACCGCAAAGGAGAAAGCCGATCTTCTAGGCTTTTTCTTTGCGTTCAACTCGACTCTCGATGACGTGGGGAGTACGCCGCCGACCATCCCGCGGTGTAAGTGCTCCATGCCGGAAGTGCAGTTCACACAGCGCTCGGTTCGCAAAGCACTCCTCTCCCTGGACATCCACAAGTCGAGTGGGCCTGACGGAATCCCCCCAATTGTGCTGAGGACGTCTGCTTCAGAGTTAGCACCGGTTTTAACGCGTCTTTTCCGGTACTCCTACTCCCTAGGCGTAGTCCCAAATTCATGGAAGACTGCTTTCGTCCACACGATCCCTAAAAAAGGCGACCGCTCAGACCCGTCCAACTACCGGCCTATCACCATCACCTCCTTGTTCTCCAAAACAATAGAGTCCATTGTAAACTGCCAGCTCATGAGGTACCTTGAGGATCACTAGCTGATTAGTGACCGCCAATACGGTTTTCGCCGTGGTCGGTCAGCTGGTGATCTTCTGGTCTACCTAACTCACAGATGGGCGGAGGCAGTAGAGTCCAAGGGGGAGGCATTGGCCGTTAGTTTGGACATTGCGAAGGCCTGTGATTGGGTTTGGCACAAAGCGTTTCTTTCGAAGCTCCCTTCCTTTTCTTATTCCTTCCTATGGGCTTCCCGAGAAATTGTGTGATTGGATCACCAGCTTTCTTGCAGATCGGAGCATCAAGGTCGTTGTAGACGGTGCAAGCTCCGATTGCAAGCCTATTAATGCTGGTGTTCCACAAGGCTGCGTGCTATCGCCAACGCTGTTTTTTCTGCATATCAATGATATGTTGCAAACCTGTAACATTCATTGCTATGCAGATGACAGCACTGGTGATGCTCTTTACACCGACCGAGCCAATATTTCACGGAAAAATGTCTTCGAGTGCCGGGACAAACTTGTGTCTGAAGTCGAGTCTCTGCTGGACAGAGTCTCGGATTGGGGGCGACTAAATCTAGTCCAGTTTAACCCCTAGAAGACACAAGTTTGCGCGTTAACCGCTAAAAAGAACCCCTTTGTCGTATCTCCTCAGTTTCAAGGCACTCCCCTTGTTGCCTCAGCCAGTATCGGAATCCTTGGCGTCGACATATAGAGTGACGTGCAGTTTCGTGGTCACTTGGAAGAGAAGGCCAAATTGGCCTCTAAAAAGCTTGGCGTGCTCAGCAGAGCGGGACAGTATTTCATGCCGGCACACCGCCTGCAACTTTACAAGGCGCAGATTCGGCCGCACATGGAATACTGTTCCCATCTCTGGGCTGGGGCTCCCCAGTACCAGCTCCTTCCACTTGACCGCATCCAGCGCAGAGCGGCTCGAATCGTCGACGACCGAGTGCTTTTGATCGGCTTGATTCACTGGAACTGCGAAGAGATGTTGCATCTTTTTGTCTCATTTTCTTTCGCATATACCATGGAGAGTGCTCTGAGGAATTGTTCGGATTAATCCCAGCCGCCAAATTTCGTGATCGCACTACGCGGCAAATGTCCCGATACCATCCACACCATCTGTATGCTTGGCGGTCCACCACTGTACGTTTCAAAAGTAGTTTTCTTCCGCGTACAACCTCTCTGTGGAATAGTTTACCACCGGCGATTTTTCCGGACCGATATGACCTGGGGACCTTCAAGAAAAGAGCTTACTCCTTTCTAAAGGGCCGGCAACGTACCTGCAATTCCCCTGGTGTTGCGGTTGATCATGGGCGGCGGTAGTCACTTAACATCAGGTGAGCCGCATGCTCGTTTGGTCCCTCTTATATAAAAAAAAAACAGTTGGAACTATGTATTATAGAATAAATAATTTTTAGTACTATTATTGAACTTTGATGGCTATAATAATTTTTTTCTATCTGTACTGTCAGTCCTTCATAGTAGTAATAACATTAAACATTATTTATTTAAAAGAATGTTTGTACAGTATGATGGACAGAATACTTTTAGTTAGTTGACTATTACATTGAACTAAATTATTATAATAGTATGCAAATATGTATTTTATGTATGTATTTAAAAGATTAATATATTTATGAACTTATTAATAAAATAAGTATTATAAGAATTTCGTAAACTTAATTGTATTTAAAGACACAGCATAATTAAAATAAAAAAATTACAAGATGTAAATTATATTAAGCAAAATAAGTACCTATTACATTAAATAATATGTTTTAACATCAAAGTAGCATTTTTCCATAAGCAAACACAACATATTACGTGTAACTAGTGCATTGGTTGCCTGCTAATATTTTAAAAAGCTTGATACTTGCCATCTTTTGATTCATGTATTTATTCCTTTAATGACATGACGACACTAAGATGATTTTTTTGCAAATTGGATTAGTGAAGTCACTTGTCCATATTTTCCGTATTATTTGTTGCCAGGTTGTGCGGGATGCACCGTGGGAGTATGACGAGGAGTTCCTGGAAAATCACAAAATCGACTTCGTTGCGCACGATGACATCCCCTACACGACTGAGGATTGTGAAGACACGTATGCCATGATTAAGGCCAAGGACATGTTTGTCGCTACCGAAAGAACGGAAGGTGAGGATCATTAGTGATAAAATCTCTGACATTAAAATATAATATAATAAAAAGTATTCTTAATCAATGTTATAGTATAGAAATAACGAAGCTGGATTATATTGCACTAAGCCGCTTTATGTCTTATTATGAGTAATGAAAGGAGTAATGGCTGAATAACAAATATTTGTTGTGTAAAATAAAAATAAATGTTGCAGGTGTTTCAACGTCGGATATAGTGGCGCGGATCGTCCGCGACTATGATATCTACGTGCGAAGGAACCTCGCGCGCGGGTACTCTGCTAAAGAACTTAACGTCTCCTTTCTCAACGAAAAAAAGTTCCGTCTACAGAACAAGATGGACGAGCTCAAAGATAAAGGCAAAAAGGTAAGTTTGCAATCGTTTAGTGGTTATATCTGCAATATTACGTTGTTTTCTTTACAAAACTTGAAAACAAATACTTCTAATTTTTGACGTATTGTGACTAACTTTAAAGCGTACACACATTACAAAGTAAAACTTTTCTATCAGTATAAAAAGCGTATAAACGATTTGAAAAATGTCTGTATGCTAATTGTATCTTGCCGTTTGACAGGGACGTAAAAGAATACACACTTATGGTGATATTAAAAAGATAAAATTTATTAGAAAATTTTGATAAAATAAAAAATAGTCTATAATATTAAGTGTTTATGATTATTGGGCGAAAATAATAACGTATTCTACAACATACTTCATCTTAAGACTACTCATACTTACCACAGTTTTAAGACCTTACAGTTGTGAAACGCCTTTGATGTAAGGCGATGCCGCCGCCCGCGTAAGAATTTACGCGGCAGCGTGTATGCTAGGGGTTATCACGAAAATGGAAATAAGATGATTTTGGATATTACAACAGTCATTATCACTTATAAACATTATGTACATAAGTACTTATAAATTAAAAACGTTTATTGAACATGATCATTTTTATTGCTACTAGAAAAAAACACATTTACAAGTGTTCCACTGCCAAATATTTAGTGACACTTTCTTTTTATAGTTGTTTTCGGTTTTCGATTGTTAAATTTAATTATGTAATGTATTTGCATTCGGATAGAAAAAAATATCAACAAAAAAATGAGGGAAACAAATATAAGCATAGCCGTCATTTGAATTCAATTTTACTTAGTAACTCATATAACTATAACAGTAATTCACCATTATAGATATAATATTTTTCGAAAATTGCACTTAAAATTAGTTAATTAAGTACTGTAAAACACGCTCGCGCCAACCGCATGTACTGTCTATCAGATTCAGTGCAGTCCGCTAGCACAAGGTCAGCCCGCCTCCCGTTTCGCAGTACCCTCACCGTTGCTCTGCACAAGTACATTAGTTTCCCAACTATAAGGTGTTTAAACTGAGCTCCTACTCAAGAAAACCTTACAAATTAACTGAATAAAATTGTATATATTTGATAAAAGATTAAATAACTTTATGATCTAATAAAAATGAATAACTATTTGTCGAGAATATTTCTAAACATACATAGAAAGTATGTATTGAGGTATTCTATCGTCTTGCTTCGAATAACTCACACCTCATGTTACAACCTACTTAAAAATTTTATAGCACTTAAGTTCTCTTTAAACACATTAAGCTCAAAAACCAATTATTGTTTCGATGTAAATGATGAAAGTAACTTATGGAGCCATTTTTAATTACGCATATGATGTCTATGATAAAATTGACACTATAATATATTATTATGTAGGTGATGACGAACATCGGCGAGAAACGAGTAGACATCTTGGCAAAGTGGGAGGAGAAGTCGCGCGAACTGATCGACACGTTTTTGCTATTGTTTGGACCAGACGGGCGGCTGTCAAACATCTGGAACGAATCTAAGGGGCGCCTGATGCAAGCGCTCAGCCAGCCGCCATCGCCGCGCTCCTCGCCACCGCCCAGCGAAAATGGCGACTCGCCGCCATCGCCACACCACAGGTACCACATCACTCTTAGCCACACCACAGGTAACCCGCCACCATTGAGCACACTACAGGTATCACTTCACCCTTCGACACACCAAAGGTACCACTTTACCCCTCGCCACACCATAGGTACCAATCCACTCTTAGAAACACTACAGGTAAACCTCCAATACTCGCCACACCTCAGGTACAGCTTAATCTCTCCCCACACCACAGGTACCACTCCACTCTTAGCCACACCACAGGTAACCCTCCACCACTCGCCACACCACAGGTACCGCTTCATCCCTCGTCACACCACGGGTACCACTCCACTCTTAACCACACCACAGGTACCACCTCACTATTACCACATAACAGGTACCACTTCACCATTGCCACATCACAGGTACCACTTCACCCCTTGGAACAACACTGATACCACTTCATCCGTAGTCACATCACAGGTTTCTCTTCACTCCTCGTCATACCACAGAAACCACTTTACCCCTTGCAACACCACAGATACCACTTCACAGGCTGTTCTTCACCTTTGCCACACAACAGTTACCACTTCATCTTTGCCACACCACAGTTACCACTTCACCCCTTGCAACAACACAGATATCACTTGTCCCGTACCTACATCACATGTTTCTCTTCACCCCTCGCCACACCACAAATACCACTTCACCCCTTGCAACAACATAGATACCACTTCACCCTTCGGAACAACACAGATACCACTGCACTCCTTGCCATATTAAAAGTTTTCTTATCATCCCTCGCCACCCCACAGGCACCACTTCACACTGACGAAGAAGGACTGAATGGCCACACCACAGGTACCCATTCAGTACTCGTTACACCACAGTTACCATTTCATTCCTTACTACACCCCATATTCTACACGTGGTAGAGCCATGCTGCAGTTATATTAGTAGTATAGTTGTAGCTCGAATGGGTCGGCTCGACCGGGGAAGGACCACGCTCTCACGGAATACCAGCGTCAAATAGTAGCTTAATGCTGCTGTGTTTCGTGTGGTGAGTGTAGACACCGGAGACCCTTTTTACTGGAAACGAGGCATTCCATCTTAGTCCTCACGGGTGACAACGCATCTGCATTTTGATTCGTAATCGAGGATAGATGTAGGTGTCTATGGGCCACAGCAACCACTTACCATCAGGTGGACTGTGTGCTTGTTTGTCACCCTATCCTATAAAAAAAATATTCACCTCTGGTCACTCTCATCCGGTCTCACTTTGGTCATTTTACCTCTTTCTTGTATTTATTTAAATATCTTTATTTTTTGTTGCAGAGGCTCTGTTTCTCCACCCCCTCCTAAGTCCCGTCGTTACGAAACCCTATGGGAACCACATGCAGGTAACTGGGTAACTAAACTTTGCTTGTACTAAATGGTGTAGAGTTGATGGATACTTTTAGGTTCATCAGAGTCATCAATTGATGTGCAAATAATATTTTTTCGAAGCTAAAACTTAGCAGTTCGATTTTAGGCCAATGCTAGTTTCTAACGCTTTCTTACGCGAATTTATGCTGCGTTATATTCCAAAAGCGACAACAAATTAACAGAAATATAAACAATAATTCTTTGTTTATCATTATAAAAAAATACAATAAACCTTAATTCATGGTGGTAGTAATGTACAGAAAGGACCTAAATGTACGCAAACAACACACTAGTACGCACGAAAATATTTGTATGTGAATACCATCCAATATTTCCTTTATATTAATTTGTTTGTTTGAAACTGCCTTTTTAACATTTACTAACATTAGTTTACATTACGTAGCTGTTATTATGGTTGATTTTAGAAGTAGACTACCGTTACCTGCTGCGAATCAGCTTAAATTGCTTAACTAATCTTACGACAGTTTAACCGACTATCCTAACCTGCCAATGAAACTAAACTTGACCTCCATGACGTCTCAGACAGCCACCATGATTAGCTTAAACACAAAATGCTATTAATATGTCGGAAACACGTTAAGATGTTATGGTCAAAAATAATAATAGTTTGTAAGCGGATGTTCCACTTGCTCCTTTGCTCATTAGCAACAAAATCGCACATTAAGATAAATTTGGTGCACTAACAATTCGACCATACCATAGAATACTATAATACACAATAGAATGGCTTAATGATTTCTTAATGTAAAGCACCCGAACCGTCGGGAATTAAATATAAGTAAAATCAGTTAAATAAACGCGATAGAATCCGTAAGTTTAGTTTAATTCAATAGAATGGCTGTCAACCTTATTTTGTACGACGATAGGCGTCGCCGGGAGCACACATAATCACTACTACAAACCCGATTCGCTGTGTAGATAGACAGATTTTAATACATATTTATTTGTAAATAGCGTGCAATTTAGCATTTTCTAAATAATTTGTGTGGGAAATTTGGAAACAATTGTAACGTCAAAATACATCTCGTGTTGACATTTATACGTGTGAATTGACGTGTTAGGGACATGTTAGTGGCTACACGGGTAGCATGGAGTACTACACACACACGCATCCGACCACCCCCCTCCCCCCGTTCTATTATGTATGTATTATAGTATTCTATGGACCATACGACCCAGTCATAATCATAGTGATAATTGTTGTTGCCCTTGAGGAAGATCACTACGCGTGGCCGTAATACAGTGCAAGCTAGTATGAAGGGCAGAACATTTATTTTTCTATAGCATGCATTATCATAACTCGAAATGTGTTTTTGTTTACCTCATTTAAATTTGGATTTATATTAACTCTACATAAATATGTAACGTTATAATGAGGTCGAAGATTAATGTTTTTCAATTATTATAAGATGTTATTTGTAACCTGTTAATAAACAAATACAATAAATAAATGAATACATTAGTTTTACGTGATGGGTGAATTTACATGATAACACCAAAGTAGATTAAGTATGTATGCAACGACGACTATTTCGCCGATACACAGGCAGTCTCTCCGTCGTACGAACTTCTTTACTTGCATTAGAAAAGCTCTCACAACTCTAGAACCATCGAATGAGACTTAAAATGACTGATCTCTGCTAATCGCATGCGCTGTACTTTATACTAATCGAACTGGTTTAGAGTTCTACCCTTACTTCTTCGTATTTTTCCTACTTTCTATCTTCATTCCTAACAAATATTTTAATCACACGTTTGTTAATATTAAAAGAGGTAGATTAATGTTTCTAGACCGCAAATGAACGAAGTACAAAAAATAACATGTTATAGCGTACAGTATTACAATTTTAGCTAGTCTATCGGTCTCGGAATCACTCGAATAATTAGTAAGCACATTTATTTTTTTATTTTATTTAATTAGATTTCCTACTACATTGTTACACCTAAAATCTTAATTACTACAGCTTAGTATCTTGAACATAATGCAGAATCACTTGTAGGTAATCATCACTTACTAAAACATTAACTAATAAATGCTACATCGCAAATTTTTTTATTTTAATTTAGTATGTGTCATACGTATGTTTTTACGTGGTAGAGCCATGCTGCAGTTATATTAGTAGTATAGTAGTAGCACCAATGGGGCGGCTCGACCAGACGACGCAGAGAAATGCTGCTGTGTTTCGTATGGTGAGTGTAGAGAACCGAAGACCCTTTTTACTGGAACTAGGCATTCCATCTTAGTCCTCACTGGCGACAACGCATCTGCATTTTGATTTGTAATCGAGGATAGATGTAGATGTCTATAGGCCGCAGCAACCACTTACCATCAGGTCGACTGTGTGCTAGTTTGTAATTAGTATCCTATAAAAAAATACATATACGTCAAGGATTTGGTGCCGGTCACAGCATTTATTGTGAATATGGCTCATTCTGGAGATTAAGGGATTTCGTTCCTAGTCATACGGCTTAAGGCTTGATCGGAGCTCGGAGTAATCCCCGCGGCACTTTAAAGCAAAACTTTGAGAGGAGTTCTGGACAGCATACGTAGTTTAACTGATTGTTCTTATTTTTTATTTTAACTGATTGTCCTTCATAAATATCTAACGCCTACTATTTTACTACGTACGTACACATTAAGGCTCGCTCGGTTACCAATTGAGGATAATTTCAAATTAAAGTAAAAGCCTTATTTACTCGTATTTTCAAAAACTGCAACAATGGTATATACTTAGTCAGGTCATAAGTTCTTTCAAAATTTTATTATTTAAAAATTTTGAATACTGCCTAGATGAGCTTCCCCAATTTTAAAAATATAACGTTTGCGCTGGTCGAAAATAAAAAAGACATTGATTTTCATTAATTTCCAAATATGGAGTGGTTGAAGAAAGAAGATAGAGTAGCGGTTATCGCGTTGCACCGCTGTGATTACGCGTCAAAAGAGATTTTCAATATTCTACAAAAATTGAAAATAACCCTACGATTTGTTTATCGCACTATCAAACGATTCACTGAAGATTCAAGCTTCGAAGATCGTAAGAGGACCGGCCGACCTCGTACAGTTAGGACACCCGCGATTATCAAAGCAGTCCTGTTCGTAAACAAAAAATCGTAGCTCTTCAGATGGGCCCAAGCAGAACCACGGTCAAAAGAGTGATCAATGAAGACCTAGGACTCAATGAAGACCTAGGACTACGAGTTTATCGTAAGAATACCGAACATTTTTAGAACGAGCGTTTGAAAAAAATTAGGCTGGATAGATCCCGCGTTTTGTTACAGCGGTACGCGGGAAAAAATACCGCGAAATTTTGTTTTCGGATGAAAAAAATTTTAAAATCGAAGAAAGTTTATATGAAACAAAATGATAAAGGTGTATGCCCACATCAGTGAAAAAGCCAGCACGAATATTCCGAGGGTTCAACGAGCACATTATCCTTTGTCACTCATGGTTTGGCTTAGAGTCTGAATACGTCAGGCTTAACTGAGGTGTTTTTCTATGAAAAAGGTGTAAAAACCAGTGCCGAGGCACAGCGGTGACACTCCCTGTGCGTGAGAGCTTAAGCTGGTGACCTTGAGTCGAAGCGTGTAACGCTAGGGTTGATATCGAACCGAAATGGAATATTATAGACTTATACCAAAGAAGATACATAGAAGGAATATGTTATATATTATGTAAACTTATGTATTTGGGTAGTGAAAGATACGTTCAATTTGAAATCAACTTTTATTAAATGAGGAATATTAAAACTTCCGACAAAATCAAATATGCACGACAGTTAATGGTAATCTTGAATAATTAACCAATACTTAGTATTTCAATACGCAATAATCAGTATTACCTTAACCTACTATTCTTTAAAAATAATTTACTCTTATATATTTTTGAATTTTTCGATAAACTTTTTAATTTTCATTATTATTTCTAGCAATTGCAAGAATTCGTAGCATGTATATTTTTTTTTTAGAAAATCCAAAGGTATGCAGGTTTCCTGGGACATGGCGGCCAACAAATTGTTCCCTATGTGTTGAGGAGATAAGTCATTTTTATTTCTCTACTGGTATTTTTAATAGTGTATATTTCTGTTAATGTAATGTAATAAAATTATTGGCGATATATTAGTTTTATTGTCATGGTATTTCCTTATAATTCTTGTTAAGATCATATCGACTTTCATTAAAATGAGTTCACATATTTTTAGGTATCATAAAATATTATTAAAAATTAAACTTAACAACAGGGCCCTTGTATTGTGCAGTGGAATTTATTTTAATTTTTATCACTTAAAATCACTTTCAGTAATACTTATACATATACTATAATATCATTTATTTAATAACAACATTAATATTTATCAAAGCATATAAACCGGCTATAAAAACTAATAACGTTACTTGGTAACATAAACTTAATACCTACATGAATAGAATAGTAATATGTACATTAAGATATCAGTAATATTCATATATTGAAATATTATAATATCACTTGACGAATATATTCATATTAACTAATACTGACAAATATCGGTATTACTACTAGCCCTCGGCCAGGGCAGTCGGCGACTGCCCGTTCCACGCCCCGCGCGCCTCTCAAGGCCCCCGCACACATCCAGACACCCACACATAGCCGCAAGCGATTTTACGTGCACACATGCTTAAGTGTCGTTTCTTTTCGCGTAGTGTATATATTCTTTGGCCGAGGTGTACCAAAATACCGTCCTAACAAACTAGTGGAACCTCTTTCTCAAACAATGTTCAAAAACAGACATTAAATATTCCAACAGGACTACACCAGCACATAGAGCACGAAGCACGCAAAACTTATTGACTCTATCGGACATGAAGACTGGCCCTCTTCTAGTTCGGATTTAAGCCCACTGGATTATAAGATAAGGCAACATTTGAAGGAGAAAGTCTGCGCTAAACCTCATCAGAATTTGCAATCTCTCCGAGCATCTTTGGTTAAATCAGCGGCAGAAATAGATATGAGTGTGGTGCGTGCTGCGATTGATGATTGGCCGCGTCGATTAAGTGCATGTATTCAAAATAGGAGAGGGCATTTTTAATAATGTAAATAAAATTGTATTCTGAATTAAATTACCTCTCATTTCGTATATAATTATCAAAAAATTTATCATTAATTTTATAAAAAGTTTTGACAGAACTTATGACCTGAATAAGTAATTATTAAATACTTACCATATTTGAACTGAAATATAAAATTTGGTTACTCTTCGAAAAATAACCTTGTATATTCCAATATCTATATTACGAATATGTCGGTTGGTATCTACGTCTACGTGACTTTGGTAAGAAAATCAGTATTTAGTACTACACGGTGATACGCGATTGATGGATTTGGTTTGCTTAGATTTAAGATACACAATATCTCAGACAGCATTAACGTTTTCTTGGTTGACTGCAGTTTTTGGACGACATTAATGGAGATCATCACTGAGCTTGACACGTCCACGTTGAAATTCAGCAAACCATTGCATTTTCTCGAGTCAATTCCATTTTCTCAACGACTAAACAAGTTTGACAAAACCTTGTGACAAGACCGAGAATCATTTTTTAAATAAATAAACGGTATTCGATTTTTACAACCAAGCAGTTTTCAATTAAAAAGATTTTAATATGACAGGAACAGTGGAAATGTTCCATTCCCGATACTTTTAGTGCAGCCTAGATATTTAAAGCAATAGTAAAATTTTTAACAAAACGGCCATTTTGGAGACCCCAACTTTTGAATGGAATGGTTGCTTCAATGATTGGTTCCATCGTATGGAAAAATGTGTCAAATTGTGTTGTTTTTTTTTCTCTTTTAAAAATTATATTTCTTTTGAAATACACTTCTCATGAGTACATACTTTCCATGATTATTTGTCCAGTGGTGGAGGCCTGGTGGCTGTAGCACAGGGAATCCTAGTATTGTCACCAGTCTCTACAACTAGCATTTGTAAGTTACTTAAAAAAATTTAGATGTAATGATGTTATAAACTGCAATTGTAGAGAGAAATAAAGATTATTATTATTATTACAGAAAAACTATAGATAGACAAAATAATTAATTGGATTTATCTTTTAAACAAAACACACTTAGTATTAATATATAATCATCATCATTAAAATAAGAGTTCTGACGCACCAAGTAACGCGAGCCGCTTTTTGCTCTTCACAGAGCGAATGCGGTATCCATCGGGAAAACAACTTTTTTACACCTAATTGTTCATGCAAGATTATTTGTATTTGACTCGACAACTCAACAATGTCTAAAGTTGCCTGAATTTCGCGGTATGTCACATGTCGATCTTCCTCAAACAGCTTACGCACAGCATCAACGTTTTCTTGGGTGACTGCAGTTTTTGGACGACTTTGACGGGGATCATCACTGAGCTTGACACGTCCACGTTGAAATTCAGCAAACCAGCGATAAATTGTGGTTTTGGATAGGGCTTCATCACCAAATTCAGAAATCATCCGGTCAACACACTGTTTTTGTGCTAGACCACTTTGAAAGTCATAATAAATCATCGCTCTTGAATTTTCTCGAGTCAATTCCATTTTCTCAACGACTAAACAAGTTTGACAAAACCTTGTGACAAGACCGAGAATCTTTTTTTTAAATAAATAAATGGTATTCGATTTTTAAAACCAAGGAGTTTTCAATTAAAAAGATTTTAATATGACAGGAATAGTGGAAATATTCCAATCCCGATACTTTTAGTGCAGCCTAGTACTGCTGTGGCATCTAATACTTAGTTATTCTGTCCCACGACTTGATTAGATACTGTACCGATATATTATATCGTTACCTTTACAGCCCATTAATGTCCACTGCTGAATATAGGCCTCCCCTATAGATTACCACAAAGGGATATTTGTCATAGTTGCCATACTTGGCAAGCGGGTTGGCAGCTGCAGTTTTTTTAGTCGTTATTAGGAAGAGGCTGCTGTCTATCTCCTGGTTTGTTTCCCTCAGTCGCCTCTTACGACACCCACGGGATGATATGGGGTAGTGGATATTCTTACCCCGCCTCTACACGGCAATTGTACCGTGTAGCTATGCACTAATTATGCATAAACTTCGTATTCGTTGTTTTCATAGAATACTATAATACATACATAATAGAACGGGGGTGTGGGCGGAGCCCGTGTAGCCACTAAAATGCCACAAGACGTCAATTCACACGTATAAATGTCAACACGAAATATGTTTTGACGTTACAATCGTTTCCAAATTTTGCATGCAAATAATTTAGAAAATGCCAAATTGCACGCTATTTACCAATAAATATGTATTAAAATCCGTCTGTCAACACAGCGAATCGAGTTTGTAGTAGTGATTAACTGATAATACGACGTAATTGCTTGTATGTGTGCTCCCGGCGACGCCGAACCTCGGTACGAAATAAGGTTGACAGCCATTCTATTGTGTATTATAGTATTCTATGGTTGTTGTTTTTTTTTTCTTTTTTACTTTTAGTATGTAAAGTATGTATCTTAGCTTACATAATTTAGAGTTTCAATTTCTTTTCTTAATTGATTTCTTTTATTACTTTTTGTAATTTTTATCAAACCTGCGTGCTTTTCCTTATATTTAAAGTTTTAGTTTTGTAGAAATAGTTTGCTATTTTTGATACAATTACAGTAATTTGTTGATTCTTTTAGGTTTCCGTACTGTTAGCTCTGCGAAGTTTGCTCACATGTTCTAGAAAAACAAATAATTAATGTAATCTGTAAAAGAGTATTGCGGTAGAGCGTTCTGCTACTTATTGAGAGTTCACTATAGAATTTGAAAGTTGTCACAAACTTATTAAAATCGACACAAAAACATTAATAAAATCCATCTATTCCGTAGATGCATCGAGCTCTGAAGGTTTTGGGGAATCGGAAGCGGCCGCACAGCGCCAGCTGACTGACGATGGCTCCGACAGCGACGACGACTATCAAGACACCAGCCAGTACATGTAGGACATGCCTGTCGATATAACGCCCTTGAGAATATGATCTTAGGCCTTATTCATATAGCTCGTATCGTATAATTAATCTCAGGGCTCAGGAGGACCCGGTTAGCGTCGCCTGGAACCTTTACTAGCAAACTGTGTGCTAAAACTGTTATGGACTTTTAAAGTGATTAATGTTAAGCCTTTTGTCAACACATTGATGCTCAAATTGTTGTTTTTTGTGATAATGTGATAATTGTTACATTTATTTATGGTCTATCAAAAATCATGAGATTTACATTAACTATATATACTACTTAATCTTATTTCGGTCTTGTTGTGTTGGCAAAAGGCCTATAACTACTTTTTGTGGTAGTTAAACACGATTGTGTCATTTCAATGATTTTATATGTCTTCTAATAAATGCACTCCGGTAGAGTGAGGCTGTGAAGACAAGACAAATATTAAAAGAATGCTTGGTTAAAAAGGCTTGGTATGGCCGGTGTACTGAATAAGGCCAAAATTATTTTTTATGATAGAAATTTTTCATTTTTAACATTGATGACACTGTAGAGTGTATTTCTTTGAAGTACTCCTTGTATTAAATTATTTTAGAGTACACAACATCAAGTTCGTATGTCTGTTAAATGTACGACAGAGTGAATGTATTTAATCCTATTAGTTTTAAAAATATTATTATTTTATTTATGATATTTAATGTAAAAAATGGTTATCTCTTAAAATATGATTGTATGTGCGGGTGAATTTGGACAACTCAGCAGTAGCTAGCACCGTGCATACAATTTGTGATAGGTGCAGAAAAATAGAAAAATGCGGTTTGTATCGTACCTTTGACAGTTGATTAAAGAGGTGCTTATTTTAAGTTTGTTTTTACTTATTCCCTTCTTAATTTTTTTAACATTAATGTAAGGCATCCGCTATTAAGGAGGACAAGCGCTCGTGTCTGTTTGTCCAAAAATCATGATATCCGCTACGTCGTGTCGTGCGGACTGACTGCGACGCTAGCGACTATTAACTTCTGTATATCGATAACACGTGGCAAACTAGTAACATTTTGTTATACAGACTACAGCACTGGCGATGCTTTGTTCACCAGCCGTGCTAATATTTTCTCAGGAACGTCGTCGAGTGCCGGAACAAACTTGTGTTTGAAGTCCAGTCATTGTTAAACAAGTCTCCGATTGGGGGCGATTAAGACTAGTCCAGTGTAATTTCACAAAAGACAGGTTTACGCGTTTACTGCTAAAAAGAAACCCTTTTGTTGTATCTCTTCAATCTAAGGCCACTTTTCTTGCTGTCTCATTTCGAGAGACGTACTGTTACGCAGCAGTTTGGAAAGATCTCATTAGATCAAGGCGGTATTTCATGCAGGTCTAACGCTTTAGAAGCTTTAAAAGGCGCAGGTTCGGCTTCATATGGATTACTATTGTTACGACCTTGAGGTTTGTGACAGTAAAAACTGCCGATTGAATTACCAAAATTGACACTTTCGTTACCGAACACCAATTACAACTTAAAACACACTAATAATAAAACACAATTGTACTACTGATCACTTTAGTTCGCAGTTATATCGCTTCGAAGATGAACTGCCAATTCAATACTGACTCGGTCGCGGTCCTTACCGGCCTTATATAAGGCCTGTTCTACTGATACATCTAAAATGTTCGAGTAAGTACCGGTTTTAGTCGTTCTACCATCAGATTGTGGGTGGTAAGAAGTTGTTCTTGTTTTATGAGTACCCATAACTCGGCAAGTTTCCTGGAATACTTGAGACTCGAAATTCCTTCCTTGATCGCTGTGAATCTATAAAGGTACTCCAAAACGATAGAAGACTTCATGAACTAGTTTATCTGCAACTATTGAAGCTTCTTGATTTGTAATGGCGAAGACTTCTGGCCACTTAGTGAATTAATTCATCACAACAATGAAATACTTGTTACCACTCACTTTCCGGAAACGGCCCCACTATGTCAAGGACTATTCTCTCCCATGGTGCACCAACATTGTAAACTTCAATGCACCTCTACTACGAGGAGGCCCGTTTACAGCCGCACAACTTGTACATTTGTGAAACCAGTCCTCGACATCGTATCGACAGTAGACCCAGTAAAACCATTCCTTGGATCTTCAGTAGAGTTCGTTTAGCTCCCAGATGGCCTCCTGAACAATGATTATGGTACAGCTGTAGAACATCCGGTACGGTACGGCTTTAGGGATAACCATTTGCAAATGACAGCTGTCTCCTTGACCATTTTCCCATTTACAGCACAGGCTCCACCCTGAATCAGCAAGTTGTCCCATTGGGCCCAATAGCTTTTCGTATTCGAACTCATCGCTGAGACGTCGCTCCACTTGAGCTTGGGAGCACTAGCCTTAATCCATTCCAGAAGCGGATATCCGAATTTTAATGCTGTGCATGCTGTTGGTAGTCCTTCCACTCGTTGCTGAGGTAGTCTGTCCTGAGCATCCCCATAGATACCACTTCCTTATCCTCTTGCCTAGTACAGTGCTTGCAATCTTCAGGACAAGGTCTTCTTGACAATGCATCTATGTTGCCATGAGATTTCCCGCTAAAAATAAGGCCAAACCTGGTGCTGTTGACTCCTTTAAACCATAACACAAACGCGGGGGAGGGAATAATTCCCATCCAACTACAGAGGGGTATCAATATCCTTCTCCTTATCTGGGGAAAATCTTCAGACCAAGTTTTGCATGGGGATATATTCCAGAACGATGGACAATTGTCAGAGTTTTATTTATACCTAAGGCTGGTAGAAAGGACTACGCTTTACCAAAATCCTTTAGACCTATAAACCTATCTTCCTTTCTTCTTAAGACACTGGAAAAGGTATATATATAGATATATATATTATATCATCACTTCACACACAATCACTTATATTATAAGAGTGTAGCTCTAGCTACGAGAACCATACATTATAACCAGCATGCTTACCACAGAGACAAATCAACGAAAACAGCCGTGATCAGTGTTATTGACACGGTCGATAAAGCACTGGAGGATAAATAGCTCTTTGTAAAGGCACCTTTGATAGTAACCCCACATCACTGCTGATTGGAGGTCTGACATCCAAAAATGTTGACCGCACAACCATCAGGTGAGTGAAGTTGGTGCTCTCAAACAGAAAGGCAAAAAAAGGGTTGTTTGAAACTTTGATTAAGGTTGCAACTACAAGAGTCTGCGTCCACAAGGTGTATTTTCAACCTTCTTTGGACTCTTGCTGTTGACCAACTGTTATACAAGATGGCAGACCTTCGCATTGACACACTAGGTAATGTTGATGACCTTGTGACTAATGCGAGGGGCTTTTGCCAAAGTACTATATCATTAATCATACAAAGAATACTAAACACCATAAATAACAGGTGTAGGGATAACAGTTTATTAGCTAATGTTGATAAAACTGTTATAACACCCTTTAACATAGAGACGGTTGACAAATTAGTCACACCAAAACTTAATGGTAAAGTAGTACCATTCTCCACTGAAGTTAAGTACTTGGCCGTAACAATCGACCAAAAACTAATGTGGAACTCTCACCTTAGCAACGCATTGCATAAGGGAAAAAAGGGAGGAGAGGGCTAGTTTGTATATGTTTAACGCACATCGTGGTTTGAGCTTGCTTTCATACATATTAAGATCCATTCTCAACTCTGTTATGCATGATCTCAGATATCATGCATCCACTGTACACTTTTATTATGTTATATATATATATATATATATATGTGTGTGTGTGTGTGTATGTGTATATATACATATAGCCAGTCTGGTATACCTTCCGTGGGGCCAAAAATGCGCCTCGACATAAGTTTTGGAATTTATGGAGAACGCCCCAAATTAATATAAATAGAAGATAGTCAAGAAGCACTGCTAGCGCTGAGGTCAAACAGAAACATGCATTATTCCAATAAAAAGTTTAAAACTTACCACAGGTAGTAATTTCTCTGGTAATCAGTTAGCGCGCAATTTCAAACTGGCAAAACTAAAACTTCTCCACTTATAGTGGGCTTAAAGTAAAATTTGTAGAAAAGTGCCATCTATATATAAGCGTTCGCACTTATTATTATAATGTTTACAATAACAGCCGACAGCTGGAGGTACTGACAAAATTGTCCCCTATACGTGGTATCAGGATCGAGGAGGTTAAGCTGAATTTGCTACCTTGACTATACTTTTTTTGTAAATATAATGATACCATCAATAAAGTGGAACCCTGCTTATTTTACAAGTTTTTTTTTTAAATATAATTGACTGCAGAGCACCAATTAAATACTGAGGGAAAAATAACATCTTGAAAACACACACAATATAATTTATATACTTATTCTCGATTGTTACTTGATTGAACTATTATTTTTCATTTTAATGACTGATTAATTTGATAATAGAGTGAATGAAAAACTATTGATCAATATATTTAATTTACTATATACTTAATACTAATTGAATAGTAAATGCAACTGAATACTTATGATAAAATTAATAATGATGGTGAAATTCCCCAACATCATACTAAAATTAAGTTCTGCTAAACAGAGTGATTATATTTTTTTATGTATGTCTACTATAAAAAAAAACTCGAGTTGTACATGCATAGATTCAAACACTTAATTTACATTATCACAGTACTCTTAAAAAGTATATTTGATCACTACATTAAAATTAACAAAACAAAAACATTAAAGTTCAGAATGATCAAGTTGTTCTCCTTTTGAGTTAGCTATCAATTTTTCAAATAAACAAGAGTCATCAGTGTTCTTCAATGCATTCTTGGTGCACAGATGATGTTTTAAATCTATATATCCCTGATGATTCCAGTACCACTCTTCTATAGCAGCTTCATTTTCTTCCAAAAGACTCTCACATTGAGTTTTCATGTGAGTTATTTCTGCTGAAGGTTTATCCCATAATTCATATGGTATACCTAGGTCTACTTTAACACCTTTATCTACTAGTCCATGCAGTGTTTTAAACGTCTGGCTCATACCCTTAGCGAACCTCGTGCTGTCCTGTCTCTCTTTATGTATGTTATATTCTAGAATTCTCTCACAAACACCTTCTAAGGATTCTATTAACCTAAGCTCCGATTTTTCATACTTAGTTTTCTTTTTTAGGCTGTACATCATCCAACGAATACCCGATTTCAATCACATCATGTACTTTTCCGGTTTCTTCAAGCCTGCTTTGTAACTCAGTGGCAAGAATTTTGCATACTTCACATCTATTCGCATATTTGACACCAACATCTTCCTCCGACTTTACTTCAACGTCTTGACTGCATAAAACATTTGTTGATACAATAATAACGTACATATACACGTGAAAAAACATTTTACAAAAAATAGCCGCAAAATTACGAAAATTACGTCAAACCATAAATAAATATGTAGCAAGCTACGTCATAGCTACGTCAAACTCAATGGGTGCGTTTGGCAGAAAAAAGCGCTAGCAAGCGCTTATAAGCGCTAAAATAGTTTTCGGCCAGGACACGATTGCTACTTCAGTAGCGCTGACACAATCCGCCATTTTGCTTATTTAATTTGTTTGTTTTGAAGTAGAGTTTATAAGTTGTTTTGTGCAATATTAGTTTTAAGTAATATATGACATGAATAAACATATACATGCTATTAAAAACACATGATTGGTAATTTTTTAATATGAATACTTTACAAACATATATTTAAATTAGGTTAGATTCCTCGGTTAAAACTAACATCGTGTCCTGGAGGAAAATAGCTATTTACGATTTAACAGCACTTACCGCTTACGATCGCCATTTTGCTTACAAGCGCTTGCAAGCGCTTTTTTCTGCCAAACGCACCCAATGTTCTCTAGTATATAGTCAGTAATCTATGCTCAATGTCATAGACATAGATAAGAGTGTGTCAGAGGGTATATACGGAAAGCTTTGACTAGAGAAGAAAGAAAGGACATGACATAAAGATCGTTAGTTGTAGGAATGTAACGAAATATCGGCGTCTCTTTTTAGCTTATGAGTATATTCTATGTAAAAAAGGACAACAGTAGTTTATCATTACCGAATATGGCAACAATTTTTTCGCTGCGGCCGGGCGCCATGTTTTGTCACAGTCAATGACAACTATATCAGTTAACCATAGATTACTGACTATATACTAGAGATAGATGAGCAACTGAAATTTTATTTACGTTAAGTTCCGTGTCCATCCGTCAGGTGGCGTAAAATTAAGAGTGCTTTGGGCCCGCCCTTTATTTGCACTTTACAATTTTATGTTTTCAGAACCATCAATTACATTGCACAAGTGCTGCAATGTAATTAATGGTTCTTTATATTTCTTGTGCTAATTGCTAGTTCCTATTAATAAAATAAAAACCAGATATATTTAAAATGTTTATTGTTTAAAAATTCTTCGCCTAAATTATTAACATTCGATGTGTTAAATTTAACAATATTTGCACAATATCAATTGATTTCTTTAAACACATTATTTTTAACTGGTTAGTTAAGTTAGGAAATATATTATCAGGGCCCTGAATGAATGGTGGGTGTGGCCCCTAGTTAGGGACGTCAGTTATTACACTACCCTAATTTTACGCTCTTAGTCATAGACACTTGTCCATCCCTATGACTAAGGGCGTAAAATTAGGGTATATTTTTTTAGGTGTATATAATATTTTTAAAGTAATTGTAATAAATAATTTACTGTGTTTCGTCCTGCTAACTCTAGTTGCGTAACTCGAGTTTAGTGCGAGTTGCGTGAATTTGAACTTCGAGTCGCAATTTTTCCAAGTAAGCACATCTATAGGATGCAACATCGCTCATTAAAAAAATCAAAGCTTATGTACGATATATCGAATTTTTCGATGTTTTTTATCATCATTTAGATATATACATACATACATAAGATATAAATAATCATTTTGAACAGAAATGAAACAAAGAAGTATAATAATCAAACATTATATTTATGTCATTTAGCAAATTTTACACTATTTATTTTTAGACATTTAATTTTATCAAATAATTATCAGAAAAAAAGAATTAATTAAATATTTTTTACGTTTATTTCTTTCGAATTGCATTTTAAAATAACAATTTTTACAACCTGGTGCCTATAAATGGTACCGCTCACGGGATACCGAAGTTACCACGATAGGAAAATAGATCTTATCTAGGCTATGAAGCCCGGGAAATAATCCTTTTAATTATATCCCACATGTAATATATGAAACTCGTCTCCAACTTTAATTTTTTTTCTTATTATGTGGTGCGTTAATTTTTTTAATGTAGTACCATGTGTTACCTTCAGTACTATCGCATTTTCTGAATACATCTACAAAACTATACCCAAATACAAAAACACAAACAAGTTAAAACAGGTGAATAGCCGTTCATTCATAAAAATCAATATTTCAGAAAAATGATTGTAATGAAATACAAAGTACCGTAAGCCATAAAATAATTTCCATTACAAAATAACTATTAACTTATAAGACTGTACTTAAGCTATTCTTTAAGTTAAAGCTCAAACAATATAATTATTAATAAGAAAATGAATAAAACAGTTTCAATCCATTTTCAATATTTGTAAACTTATCTTAATTAATCATCATAATACAAATAACTACAACTTTACTTCGAAAATGGAATTACCGATAGAAGAAAATTGTACTTCTGAAGTTCAAGTATATTTATTTTCGGCTGAAAGACCATTTGCCTGTTTCTTGATTCGTATTAAAAAATTTCGGGATTGAGTTATTTCTGCTAAATACTCGTAAACCTTCTAACTTTAAAAATTTTGACGTTATCTAACTTTGAAATATTTTGTTTCGAATATTTATTTTTTGGCAACTTAAAATTTGTGATAATCATCGTTCGCAATTTTTAACATACGGAATTTTATACCTTCGAATAGTTGGTTATTTCGTAACCTTTTACGGCAAAACATCGTTCATAAAACATAGCTCATGAAGAACCATGTTTATGAACGATATATCGATGTTTGAAAGAATTGATGTATCGTTTGCATCCATAGGTGCGCATCGAATAAGTGCCCTAACTCCCTTAGTGTTTTTACACTGCACGGTGGATGAGCACTGCAGACTGGGTCCACTTTGACGCCCTAATTAAGAACCCTTACTCCCTTTCTCTTATTACACCACCCTTAATCAGGAGTAGCGTAGGGAGCCTGATTCAGGGTAGTGTAATAGGGGTAATAGATTTATGGAGTGTAGAGGTAAGGAATACACTCTGTATAAAAAGTGTCCGTAGGCAAGCGCTAAATAAGGGTGGCGCCACTATAGCTACAGTCTAAATTTTGAAGAACTTTCATAATTTTTTCATTGCACAGACTTTCACTATAATTCTTTTTACAATAATTATTATATTGTATTCAAAAATTTTATGTTCAAAATCACTCTCAACGTATTTTACGGCGATTTATCATACCCCTTAATACCCATTTAAACGTGGTAGAGCCATGCTGCAATTATATTAGTAGTATAGTTGTAGCACGAATGGGTCGGCTCGACCGTGGAAGGACCACGCTCTCACAGAATACCAGCGTGAAATAGTAGCTTAATGCTGCTGTATTTCGTATGGTGAGTTTAGAGAACCGGAGACCCTTTTTACTGGAAATGAGGCATTCCATCTCAGTCCTCACGGGTGACAACGCATCTGCATTTTGATTTGTAATGGAAGATAGATGTAGATGTCTATGGGCCGCAGCAACCACTTACCATCAGGTGGACTGTGTGCTCGTTTGTCACCCTATCCTATAAAAAAAAAACCCCGTGGCTACTCGAGCGCTGTTGGGGCGAGTTTTTGAACTGTTATTTACCGCTTACGGATGGACACATTTTCAACTATTGTCCTATGGGAGATTGTCCTCCTAACTTCTATACTCCATGCTCTACGGACTGAATGCAATCAGAAACAATAACAAATGCAAATGCAATACTAAGTGCTGCCACAAATATTACTGAATTTCCACTGAACCAATCAATCTTACCGTAGTTATAAAATAATTGTAGGCCTCCAAGCGAAAAGGGTCCATTAGTCGGGTATTGAGTTAAGACTAAATTCGGTATCTAGAATAATCAATTGACAGTACGGATTGAAAAATATTCAAAAACTAGCACATATTTTTTTACCAGACATTTTGAATTTGAAATTATGAAAAGCTTGTTTTGAGAAAATTAATTTTTAAAATTTGAGTGAAAAAAACACACTTTTACTTGTTTGTTACATAGATTTTTATTTATTATTATAGATTGAGATACTATTCATAAAATTAACCTATAATTATACTTGTAACATCAAAAAATAAACAATTACGATCGAAATAAAAGATTGATACCCAGTTTAGTAAAAAGGTCCAGTTGTCAGTGTTTAGTAAAAACTGAGTAAATACGACAGCAATTAGCAATAAAAGGGTAAAATTGGATATTCTTCCTCTATTTAGGAACTAACAAAATAACAAGGCAGGTTTTCTTAAATTATTATTGGAACAAATACTCTCTAAATAAAAGATCGAAACATAGTTTAGTAAAAAAGTCCAGTTGTCAGTGTTTAGTAAAAACTGAGTAAATACGACAGCAATTAGCTGTATATAATAAAAAGCTAAAATTAGATATTGCTCCTCTATTTAGGAACTAACAAAATGACAAGACAGGTTTTTTAAAATTATTATTGGAACAAATACTCTCTAAATAAAAGATCGAAACATAGTTTAGTAAAAAGTTCTAGTTGCCGGTGTTTAGTAAAAAGTGAGTAAATACGAAACTAATTAGGAATAAAACACTAAAATTCAATATTTCCCCTCACTATTTAAGAACTAACAACATAAGAGGACAGTTTTTTATTATTAGAACAGGACAATGATTATTTGGTTACACCGGTACCTTTTATAAAATAACATAACTAATCACTAGCCAAAATAAACACAAAAATTATTCTATTTGGGAATCTAACTTACGTTTTTTACAAAAGTAAATTATTTATCGTCAATAAGGTACCTGATTCCTATGACCAATCTGTTTGCATTACGAACATGTTGGTTTTTGGTCATTTTGATTTTTGAAACAAATGAAGACAATAGAGGGCACATTATATGTTAAGTACAAAAAAATACTGACAGTCAATCAACTGTAACAAAGGTTTTGAACCCGAATAAGGTATACGTTTTTCCTTTGAAAAACTCCCTGCAGGCATGACGTACGAAAGAAAATCGTATCTTTATAATAGGATACGTGAATTTGTAAGTGACGAATCTAAAGACATTTTTTGCCCGAAACCCATTGCAAATGTTAACGAACCAAGCTCCTCTAGCAATTCTAGCATTCGAACGTTGCCAACAACATCTGTCGAGTACTCTTTTCAGAAACAAACAACTGACAGAAATGCAAATTGCCCAGTCGTAAGTTTTCACAAAAGTTTCTCCATTCTCATCACCAGTAAGAACAGCTATTAGATTTTGTTTTCGGACAAGCTTGAACAGCAGCGGCAATAACATCCTTTAAGTCATTACAGTCACATTTTCTGCAACTTTTTTTGAATAGACGAAATACATATCGGGAGCGAACTTCGTATGACCCACGGGAAGAAAGGACATACGGAAACTTCGATGTCTGCCTGTTAAAACCCGCCATGTTGTATATTGCATGACAAAGTTATTTTTATTTTGTCCAGCACAATTATCTGCGTAACAAACGACATCTTTTTCGCCTATACTAAAATTTTCGAAATAATTATGTAGCATTGAAATTATTACATTAGCTCCCTTCCCAGTAGTATAGGGTTCAGGAATTACGTACAAAACGAACTTTTTCAATGGCTCTACAGCAACACCGAATAAACAGACTTTAAACCCTGTCAGAAAGAAGAAGAAATACAGTGGCCCGATTTGTTGGGAGCTGTGCGGTAAATGTACCTGTTGCGCAAAATCGAAAGAGTAATGCATGGCGTCATCATAAGAACATGGTTCATGAGGTCCAAGAGTAAGAGTAGAATCCGTCAATGAATCAGTTGCACCTTTGATTACAATGTTATAATATTTTTGTTCAATTTGTACTAAATCAAGGCCCTGTTTCGACTTTTCTACAAGCTTTAACTTTTCACTATCGTTTAAACCACCACCCATTCAGCCCAACGTTGTTACGTTTTTCTGACAAGTTGCGCAAATATCTGATTTCAGCTTCTGTATAACGACATATGAACAAAAATCTTCCCAGAGATCGTAGCAACTACTTATAACAATAGAAGTTTTATCGAGTAAAGCTACAGTTTCCAAATATTTGTAGTACACATATGCTTTAGACAAAATACAGGGTAAAATTATTAAATCAGATTTAAATTGGTGGCCAGGTAATCGACCCGGCAATACTAGACCGTTTTCATTAGGAAACTGTCTCATAAAATTAACTGCGTCTGATTTAGTTTGCAAATTAATACAATTGTGAGGTCGTTTACGTGACCCGTACCTTTGGGGCAACACCGCTGTCCAGAAAGTCCTTTTTTACATTTTAACCTTTTCAAACCAGTGGCAAATACATATTGGAAAAAAGTCTTGCATACTGAAACACTTTGAAAGAAATACTTTATAGTGTACTCTTTTCGCTGCCAGTTTCTTTTCTTTGATCTTAATGTCCAAGACCAAGTGATGGTGATTGACACCCTCATTACAATGTGAATTTAATTCGATACAGTCTAACCTACTACTTAATAGTTTAAGAGTGGTAGAGCCACGCGGCAGCTTTTCTGTTGCACGTATGGGCCGGCTCAAACCGGGGTGGTACCACGACCTCACAGAATACCGGCGTGAAGTGGAAGCTCTGCTTCCGCGTTTCGTCTGGTGAGTGCAGGTGGCCGGAGGCCCAAATCCCCCCCCCCCATCAACATGGTAGCGGAATTAAATGATGATAGACTACCCCAGGAGGGTACCAGCACCGCAGGAGAATCCCTCGCTGAGCATCCACGATCATGTTTCTCCACTTCTGAGCGTGGATGCTCAGGCTGCCCCGCGTATTCTGGGGGGGGGGCAAAATTCTGCTCAAGACTACAACTGCTCGGGGCAAACGGAGCAACAAAACCGAGGCGACCCCTGCCACGCTGTCCGTGAATTTCTGCAATATCGGGGGACTTCACTCTAACCTAAACGCCGTCTACTACCATCTCGAGACGGCGAGGCCGGCTCTGCTCTTTCTGACCGAGACGCAGGTGTCCTCTCCGACTGATGTCTCGTATCTCTCCTCCCCAGGGTACAAACTGGAACACTCCTTTGTGCCTCGGGCTGGAGTTTGCGTTACGTCAGAGAGGACATCTGTTCTCGACGCCTCGGCAGACTTAAAGGTTTGGACCTGTCCATCCTTTGGCTACGCGTAGACAGCGACGAGCATCCGCGCGTCTATGGGTGCCTCTATAGGTCCCATAGCGGTAATGCCGAAACAGACCGACTCTTCGACCACGTCCAAATGGCTACAGATTCGTTGCTACAGCAGATCCCCTCCGCAGAGATCGTGATCCTCGGCGACTTTAACGCCCATCCAACGAATGGCTTAGTTCACGTTTAACCGATCATGCGGGGAGATCTGTTCATGATTTTGCCTTGGCATATGGTCTGACACAACTGGTTACTTCGCCTACGCGGATTCCAGATGTGGAGGATCATGCACCTTCCCTGTTGGACCTTCTGCTGACCTCTCACCCGGACGGATATCAGATTTCCGTTGACGCCCCTTTAGGCTCCTCGGACCATTGTCTTGTTCGGAGTGTGGTGCCACTCACGCTGAAATCGCAGTTGCAATCTGCAGGCTGCCGCCGTGTTTGGCACTATTGGTCAGCCGATTGTGATGGGATGCGGTCTTTCTTTGCATCCTACCCTTGGGGGCGGGTTTGCTTCTCGCCGGACGATCCCAACGTTGTTGCGGATTCTGTCACTGATGTGGTACTTCAGGGTATGGAACTTTTTATTCCTTCCTCTGTGGTGCCCATTGGAGGCAAATCTCAGCCATGGTTTGGTCGCTCCTGGAAAATAGCATCATGCTATAAGCAGGAGTGCTACCAAGCCTGGGCTGACGCATCAGCGTCGCGGGATGTAAACACCAGCGCTCTAAAAAAGAAGTATAATTCCGCCTCTAGGTCCTTCAAAAGAGTCATTGCCAAGGCAAAGTCAGAGCACATAGGCAGAATTGGCGAGAAACTAGTCCGCCTTCCTTCTGGAACCCGTGCATTCTGGTCTCTTGCCAAGGCTGTCCAGGGGAATTTCTGTCAGCCATCTTTTCCATCTCTGCACAGGGAGGACGACTCACTGGCCCATAACGCAAAGGAGAAAGCCGATCTTCTAGGCTCTTTCTTTGCGTCCAACTCGACTCTCGATGACGGGGGGAGTACGCCGCCGACCATCCCGCGGTGTGAGTGCTCCATGCCGGAAGTGCAGTTCACACAGCGCTCGGTTCGCAAAGCACTCCTCTCCCTGGACATCCACAAGTCGAGTGGGCCTGACGGAATCCCCCCCAATTGTGCTGAGGACGTGTGCTCCAGAGTTGGCACCGGTTTTAACGCGTCTTTTCCGGTACTCCTACTCCCTAGGCGTAGTCCCAAAATCATGGAAGACGGCTTTCGTCCACCCGATCCCTAAAAAAGGCGACTGCTCAGACCCGTCCAACTACCGGCCTATCGCCATCACCACCTTGTTCTCCAAAACAATGGAGTCCATTGTAAACTGCCAGCTCATGAGGTGCCTTGAGAATCACCAGCTGATTAGTGACCGCCAATACGGTTTTCGCCGTGGTCGGTCAGCTGGTGATCTTCTGGTCTACCTAACTCACAGATGGGCGGAGGCAGTAGAGTCCAAGGGGCGGCATTGGCCGTTAGTTTGGACATTGCGAAGGCCTTCGATCGGGTTTGGCACAAAGCGCTTCTTTTGAAGCTCCCTTCCTTTTCTTATTCCTTCCTATGAGCTTCCCGAGAAATTGTGCGATTGGATCACCAGCTTTCTTGCAGATCGGGGCATCAAGATCGTTGTAGACGGTGCAAGCTCCGATTGCAAGCCTATTAATGCTGGTGTTCCACAAGTTGGTTTTTTTGGTGCCCGTAACATTCATTGCTATGCAGATGACAGCACTGGTGATGCTCTTTACACCGGCCGAGCCAATATTTCTCGGGAAAACGTCTCCGAGTGCCGGGACAAACTTGTGTCTGAAGTCGAGTCTTTGCTGAACAGAGTCTCGGATTGGGGGCGACTAAATCTAGTCCAGTTTAACCCCTAGAAGACACAAGTTTGCGCGTTAACCGCTAAAAAGAACCCCTTTGTCGTATCACCTCAGTTTCAAGGCACTCCCCTTGTTGCCTCAGCCAGTATCGGAATCCTTGGCGTCGACATATCGAGTGACGTGCAGTTTCGTGGTCACTTGGAAGAGAAGGCCAAATTGGCCTCTAAAAAGCTTGGCGTGCTCAGCAAAGCGGGACACCGCCTGCAACTTTACAAGGCGCAGATTCGGCCGCACATGGAATACTGTTCCCATCTCTGGGCTGGGGCTCCCCAGTACCAGCTCCTTCCACTTGACTGCATCCAGCGCAGAGCGGCTCGAATCGTCGACGACCGAGTGTTTTCCGATCGGCTCGATTCACTGGCACTGCGAAGAGATGTTGCATCTCTTTGCATTTTCTTTCGCATATACCATGGAGAGTGCTCTGAGGAATTGTTCGGATTAATCCCAGCCGCCAAATTTCGTGAACGCACTACGCGGCAAACGTCGCGATACCATCCACATCATCTGGATGCTTGGCGGTTCACCACTGTAAGTTTCAAGAGGAGTTTTCTTTCGCGTACAACCTCTCTGTGGAATAGTTTACCACCAGCGATTTTTCCGGACTGATACGATCTGGGGACCTTCAAGAAAAGAGCGTACTCCTTTCTAAAGGGCCGGCAACGCACCTGCAATTCCCCTGGTGTTGCGGTTGATCATGGGCGGCGGTGGTCACTTAACATCAGGTGAGCCGCATGCTCGTTTGCCCCCTCTTCTATAAAAAAATAAAAAAATATCACGTCCTTTTGAAATTTGGACACACAATTATTATTACATCCACTACCAGTACCTAAGAATGAGGCTTGAGTTAAATCGTCTAGGGATAAAGGATAATCTTCTAGCAAAATATCGCCAATTTGCCACTCTTTGTAAGACTCGCAAGTAGTAAACTCGATGTCACACGATAATTCTGTATCCTGTTGACTTTTGAACTCGGAATTAAAACTTTCATAGTCTTCATGTTCTACAGACGCTGAATAACTAAACTCTGGAAACAAAACGTTAAAATATAGAATTCAACACAAGTTTTTCTTCATATTATGTCTATGACATATCTAACACAACCCCCTAATTGGTATTAGAGTCCTTGCTTTAGTCACAATTCATAAAGAATATTAACTATTGCATGCATACAATTTTCACGTCGATCTTTTATGATTTTACACAAGGCCCGACTAACTATCCTAGCAAAATCGTTTTGCTGTTTCATCCGTGACTAATGTCGACTCTGGTAAATTAATTTCAAACTTGTAAGTACCTGGAGGTTCAACAGTCTTTTCTTCTGATGGTAAATGCGGCGTTGTTGCGGTCGAGGCCAAAATATGAAGTGTGTTTACTTCCACCGCCATATAAAGTGGTACAGGCCTATCAGAATGCTTAGATTCATCACTAGAGCTGGAACCTTCTGTTGACTCTTCAATAGTTATGTTACCTAAAACAAACTTAGGATAAGTAATTATGACTAATTACAATACATTCGCTTAGCCTGTTTTCAACTTTGTTGCGGTCGGTTTTCAGTGTAAGCGGATGCAGCCGAATTATTACGATTATAGCTGCTCGGCTTAAAAGTAGAGTGAAAATATTATAAAAATAGGAACACCAAGAAGAGCCGAAACCATTTTTTTAAGACTAACAGACCTCTTGCGGTCCAGGTCCGAATCACACTTGGCCAATTTTTATAGCCTATGTTACATATAAGGGTTCAAGCCTCGTCAAATTTTGTCAAAATCGGTTTAGCGTTTTTTGGTTAATCCAGTACAAACAAACAATCAAATCCTTCTTCTTTAGAATATTAGTTTAAACTAGATACTTGGTGTTAAGATCCGGAATTATGACACGTAGGTATTGCTGTACTCACAAGAATTCAGTATTATTACAAACAGTGCTATATAAAACAACATAAAAGTCTTACCTTTATTAATTTTTATGTGCACTTTTCATCCACTTAAGCATAGACTTATACAAACCTAGAGGAGCAAACCACATTACCGCGCGTCGAAAAAAGTGTAACCACTATCCAAACGCGACAAAGTAGCTTTGAAATTATTAAACATTTTAAATAAACATATATCTGTCTCACTTACTCAAGTTGCGAATACAATACCGTCGCTAAGATTAGATAAAGATAGATACACCAAACATGCAATGGCGGATTGGTCTGGCTTACTATATCAAATTTAACCCAAAATACGCAATAAAAAGGAGTTTTTCTTAAGTTGCGGTTAATTGTTTTTATTTAAAAAAGTATATTTTCTTATCAGGTGAATAGAAGTTAGCATAACTGATGAATTAAAACATATTTTTATAAGTATTTTTATTGTACTAATAAATCAAACAATATAAAATAGGTAATAAAATATAATTAATATAAAATATAAAATTTATTTAAAAATAAAATTATAATCACAATAAAATTATTAAATAAAATAGGTCATAAAATATATTTAATAGATCATTCATGAATAAACTTAAATAAGAATAATTAATTATTTTGTTTGAAAGTCAAAACGTAGTTTTTATTATAATTTCCAAAATATTTAAAATCAGAGGTAACAAATTAACTTACTCCGTCAATTATACAGTCTCCCCTTAATGTGAGATAATCACAAAGGCTGAAAAGTGGCAACATTTAACCTAAATCGCAATATTCGATAATTTTATTTAATTATTTGAGGTTTTTACGTTTATATGAAAACATGAACTAAACCTTATGTGTGGAAAGTAATTCCGCTTGATTTATTATGGTTTTGTGACCTTTAATCGCATTCTTTCACTACGCATTTACCCATTTTTTGTTGCGGATCGTTCGGCTCAACTCTGTCGGCGTCACATTGAACACTGAACTGACGTTAGCTAGGCATATGGCTGTGGCCATATGTGCAGTGACAACGCTTTGGCGCGGTAATTACTAATCTAGTGTAATATATAAATCAATGCACTTAAGTTACCACAACGTGAAAACCACAATAATAATAATAAACACGGCTATATTTACATCTATACATATAATAAATCTGTATCAGTAGAACAGTCGTGTGGACTTGTTTTTTCCGGGAAATATTAGGATTCCAGTCCTAATATTTCCTGGAAAAAAACAAGTCCATGGGACTAAATAAAGGATACTGAAGTCAAATTACTGGTCTTTAGAATTTTAGTCTGTCTGTCTATGTTTCTGTCTGTCTGTCTGTCTGTGTATTAAAGATTCACGCAAAAACAACTGGACAGATCTCCATGAAATTTTGTATGCAGACAGTAAGTGACCCGGGACTACTTATAGGCTACTTTTTATCCGATGGAAGTTTAAAAAGGAGAGTAAAATATTTTTCTTTCTTTAGAAATTAATTTTCTTTTATGTATGATACTGTTAGTTATAAGCGGGATAACGTAGTGTTTTTTTAAAACGAATACAACATTTACAATTAAAGTTTAAAATTTGTTTTAACTGTAATAATTTGAAACTACGCCAAAGATCTACATTGTACATTTCCGAAACAGCGCCATCTGTCATAAAAAGTCAAAAGTAGCATATTTAGCCTTCAGTTATTAGTTACTAAGTGATAAATTAAATAACATCAATAACTTACATTTATACTTTATTAAATGATTTGAAACTTCTAAGATTTATTTTAAGTTTTTCATTCTTTCATTTTAATAGTAATAATTTAAATAGATAATAGTGAAATCTATGAAAATTCAGATGTTTTTAGTTTAATTACCTACTAATATATAATAATGAACTGATTAACATTGGTTTGCCTACGATTATTGCAAAACTCATTAAACTTATACTTTTTTAAGTATATTTTTGTATACGTCGTGGTCAGATCGTAGAAATGATTTTATCATGAACATTCGATCATTACATGAAATTTTGGCATTTCGTGAAATTTAACACTGTATGTTGACCATATCATGATAAGGCTTGACCAAATCGATGAATAAACATTGGTTGAAAAAATTGACTATTACCCAACATTGCTTTTTCATACTAATATCGTAAAATAGTTTCACTAGTCACCGCTAGCGGCTCCGATAGCGCATTTTTTTAACAGAATTTTTAACAGAATCCACATCTCTATGCCTTATCGCGAACTTTAAAAAAATATATATACATATAAATGTTCGCGGCTTTGAGGTAGCCTAAGGATCACCCCAGCCGTATTTCAATCTACTATCGCTGGTATTACTAGATGGTGCTTTCGTATGATATTATGATGAAACGAGAAATGACTTCGTAGATTCAATTGTTGATTGAAGATAAATTTGACAAACGTTGACATTTAAACGATACTAAAGATTCACCAGAGCTTAGCACAGGTGATTCCTGGATATCGGTAACAGCTCCTATCACCTACTGGATATAAAATCTAAACGAATTTGTGAATCTAAACCATACAGGGACTTACTTAAATACGCACAAAAAATTTCATCAAAGTCGGTGAGTCTTAGCTAGACTTTTGGTCTTTTTTTTGGACATTTTGGTCTAGTGTTTTGCACATAACAAGTGATTTCAGGGCTAGGACATTGCAGCTGTTGGATAATTTACATATTGTCAGATAATCTGTTAATAATCTCTTGGCACAAACGGACTAGTACCAAAGAGCACCTTTTTTGCATTTATTGTATATTGGTACGTTTCAGTGTCTAGTGACTTCCTCAAACTTATACCCGAGCGAGTTAATTCCGAGCTCAAGGGAATTTTCAAATGCAGCACTATATTTCGAAAGGGTTGACTTTACAGCCGTGACGTCTTGAATAAACTGATTACTGTCCCGGAAAACATTCAGAAAGGCAGGCTTAAATACTCTTCTTACCATTTAAATCAGAAGGCGCAGATCATTACAAATTTTGGTTAGTCGGTCCGTTACTTCTTTCAGAAGTGGTGCTAAAATCACAAAGTACGATAAATGCATCTCATCATTTACACTAATTGACGTTAGCTCCCTACCTTGGTAGCTTTTTTCCCCTGATGAACAGATTACCGTAAAATGTGACAACTTTGCCTGCCAAGGTATCTGCACAAAAAAGCAATTTACAAACAAATCCGTTATTGAGAGAAATTGTGGGCCTCCAAGCGAAAAGGGTCCAGTTGTCGGCATTTAGTTTCCGAGATAATTAAGAGTTTTGTAAAGTTGGAAGAAAAAATTGTATTTCGCGTCCTCCTCAATCAGCGAATCCTCCAATTTCATATATTACCTAATGACTATAAGTAATACGATGTTTCTAAGTACCAGAAACTTTAAGAGAAAAGTTTAGTGAAAAGAGACCAGTGGTCGGTATGTCAATATTTTTGAACAAAATACGTTTCAATACCTCGTACTGATCTCTATATTTAAATAATTTAATTTAATAATTTTTTAAGATTATAAAGTTAAACCAAATTGTAAACACTACTTAAAAGCGGGGAATTCCCTGTAACTACTGAGGAGATTTACTTACTGTAAAGTATCTATTTCGGCGCCAACGGGGATGTCCCTGCGGGTATTCCCCTTCATGTCCTATAAATAGATCTTTGCGTGACGCAATGATTTAATTGTCATTTGACACCGGAAAGGGAACAATATCCAATAATCTCATCATCATCATCATCATTACAGCCCTTCACAAGTCCACTGCTGAACATAGGCCTCTCCCAAGGTATGCCACAAAGCACGGTCCTGAGCCACCTGCATCCATTGACTTCCTGTATGTCCTACCAGATCGTCACTCCATCTAGTGGGGAGTCGCCCTACACTTCGCCTACTGGTACGAGGTTGCCACTCGAGAACCTTTTTTCCCCAACGGTTGTCGGTTCTTTGAGCTATATGGCCGGCCCATTGCCACTTCAGCTTACTAATCCGTTGGGCTACGTCACTCACTCTGGTTTTACTGCGGATATCCTCATTTCTAAGTTTATCACGCAGAGAAACTCCGAACATAGCCCTCTCCATAGCTCGCTGAGCGACTTTGAGCGTCCTCATACGGCCAACAGGAAGGACTACGTCTGTGTTCCGTAGGTCATTACTGGCAACACGCACTGGTTGTACAGCTTAGTTTCAGGTTTTGAGGTATACCTGACGAGAAGATGTGTCGTAATTTCCCGAACGCTGCCCAGCCGAGTTGAATCCGTCGATTGACCTCTCGGTCGACGTTGGACTTACCTAATCGGACTATTTGTCCCAGGTAAACGTACTCGACAACAACTTCGAGCTTAGTGCTCCCAACAACGACCGGCATAGGTGTGACATAGACATTACACATGATCTTTGTTTTGTCCATGTTCATCTTAAGACCTCAATAGTGCCTCCCAACGGATAGGCCGTTGGGAGGCACTATTGAGGTCATTGAGCATAGTGCTTAAGTTCTCCAGCGATTCTGCCATAAGGACTATATCGTCGGCAAATCGAAGGTGAGTGATGTACTCGCCATTGATGTTAATACCGTATCCTTTCC